ATCCATTTAATTCTTCATCATCAGTGTCACTTCTGCACAACCACCGGAGGTAAACAGAGCGTCACTTCCTCTTCTGTGTCGCTGTCGTCAGACTCTGCATCAGTTCCAGTTAGAATTATTCCGGCCTTTCTGAATCTCAACAGGATAGTTTTGGTTGTCTTTATAAGTTTGTTTAAATTTTACATTTTCAGTAGCAAAGAAGTAATGCTGCGATCGACTGACACGACACAGACAGAACAGAGGCTCTTTCTGCAGGAGACATGTGCAGTAGAGTGAAGTGACAGTGGTACAGGAGGAAGAGCAGCAGCATATACTCACACACAAGACTAGAGCCTCTCACGTCTGTCAGTGTGAAAATTTTAATCTATAAGCCACACCGGAGTATAAGTCAGGAAACACCCGAACCATGAAAAAAACTGGGACTTATATTCTGAAAAATACAGTAGATAATAAGATGAATAGCCTGATATAAGTTGTACAATATTGGCCAGATCAGAGAAATCTGCAGTGATCTCCTAAAGAAATAAGACAATTGTCGGCTTGAACATTTTGATTATTTAAGTTGTCATGTTACGAGGTAAAACATTCTCAACATCAACTCAGTTCTCATATTTCCCCCACACACAGTTTTAAAGGGCCCAGAACTGGACCTTCATCCTATTAATTTATATTACAGTGGATCCATGTGTCAGTAGCAGCAGCAGCAGTTTTGTGTGTTTGCGCGGAAGTACGAACAAGCAGGAACCACCGCCAAAGAGCCCACGGAGAGGAGGAGGAAGGAGGAAGGAGAAGAGAGAAGCGAGAAGAGAGAAAGGGGGGAGTCCTGGTGGGAGGGCGCCTGCTGACCTCAACGCAATTAGCGCGATGCTTCACAAAGTTTCAACCCAATATAATTAGCTCCTATCAAAACCTCAGACCCCGGCGCGATTTTTTTTTCCCTTCTCTTCATCTTCTTAATTGACTGAGCGAGCCGTAAAGAGCAGATACGCGGAACAGCTGATAGTTTACTGTTTATTCGGAGACAATGGAGGACGAGCCGGCGCGTTGTGAAGGTGAGCGCGGGCGGGTTTTAGCGCTATGACAACAGAATCAGGCGGCGTTTAATTCGGAGCTTAAGTTTGACAGTTAATTATGCGCGTGCAGGCTGATAGCGCGGGGGGGGCACGTGTCAGCGGTACATACGTGTCAGTGGAGACGGGTGAGCAGACACGGAGGGGACACCGTGTGTGTCTGCAGGCAGTTTGTAAGGGTTAACTTTAGGATTACTAAACTGGAAAGTGAAACTGGTGGCTTTTCGCGTTTTCGTTGCTTCCTTGATTCTTTCTCACTTGTTCTCAGGGAAATACGGCGTGTGTTGCTTTAAGATTTGAAGTTGTATGAATGAATATATGTGTGTGTCGTTCATTCATTCATTTATCAAAATAAAACCAAAAATAAGAAAATAAAAAAACAACTATTATCTTCATTATTTGTCTCCAAAACCAAACAAAAAACAAACTGATAACGATTAGTTTTTTCAGTTTTCGATTTTGTGTTTAAATGAATAATGGAAAGGAAAAAAAAAACAGATAAGGGCCATTTTTCATTTCTGAGACTGAAACTGTGATGATAGACTTTTGGTCCAGGTCTAAACCAGGTCAGGACTGAATCAGGACTGGGTCGGGACAGGCCCAGAGATGCACTCGCCTAGACTGTCAAGTGATCAAGACTGAGACCGGAACCAGACCGTGACTGAGACCAGGACTGAGACCAGGACCAGGATCAGGACTGAAACCAGGACCAAGACCAGAACTGAGACCAGACCAAGACCAGTTCGGGACTGAGACAGGGACTGAGATCCGGACTGGGACCAGAACTGCGATCGGAACCAGACCAGGACTAAGACCAGGACCAGATAGGGACCAGGACGAGGACTGAGATCTGGACTGAGACCAGGGGCCTCATTTATAAATCTTGCTTACGCAAAAATCCGTGCGTGCGCGCTTCCTACGCCAACCGCGGTATTTATAAAACTCGCCTAAGGCGTGGCTCTTTGCTTAACTCTACGCCAACTCGGGACCTCCTGTAAGTTCTACGCAAAATCTGGAGACACGGGGAAAAAGCGACACTCGTGGAGAGAAGCAGAAGTGAACAGAGTTTGAGGAAGTGTTTGATCAGAAAATCCACGTATATAGAAGAATTACCTTCTGATTTGCGCATTTAAGTGTTTGGTTCGCCAAAATACGGAGAAGGGCTGTTTATTCCACTCATTATTCTCCACAATATTATACATTTGACACTCGTGCACGATCGCGGCCACGTTCCCGGACAGTGTTGCGCAGAGTCCCACAGTCCACACCGCGACCATAGACTTCTATAGAACACAGACTGACCAACACAGAGGATTAAATAATGACCCAACCTGAGAGAAAACTCTTCCCTTGGACGCAGCAGGAGCCAGGCTTTGATTTAATATGAACGCAACTTTAACACTTTTACTTTAGTCTTTACGCACCGAGCGCCAGAGTGACCTGAGTCTGCGGACAACACGAAGCCCACTGCCCGAAGCCTGACCCGAACCAAAATCTTCCCTACATTTTTGTGTAATGGGGAACTCTTGTACATGAGAGCTGCTCTCTGACTGTATGAAGAACAGAATAATGCCCGTGCCGACCCAGACCCACAGACCCAGACCCACACTCACAGACCCAGACCCACACTCACAGACCCAGACCCACACTCACAGGTTCAGCAGTTTGGATGTTTCGTGTGGACTTTAATTGGCAGAATAACATCTGTATCTGATGTGTTTCGTGCTAAATCTGTGTCCTCGTATCCTCGTGTCCCTCCCTCGCTCCTTTCGCTCTCCAGGGGAGGGCATCTGAATCTCTCGCACGCGCTCATAATTTGCACACATCATAGGCAGACTTAAAATAATAGTGATAAAACTCTTGAAACAGCGAAAAAACACATGGTCTTTACTGTAAAGATGTGCTGCCTAAATATTATGAAAATATGATTAAATGAAAAGATGAGTCATTGTTGTCACTTTTAGTTTTGTATTTATTTATTAACAAGGTTTAATAAAGTATTTAATAAAGTGTTTGTCGTGATCACGTGGTGCTACGTGGAGCGTCCTCCTCCCTCTGTCCCGCGTGTCTCGGTCAAACCCACTGATTATCGACTCATGTTTAGGGAAATCTCATTCACGAGTCACTTTACATGCTCCTTTTATGGTGAGGTGGAGGTGTGGAGAGGGCGTGACGTGACGTAGGTTTACGTGCGCAAATTGTAGTTGCAGGTGGGATTTATAAAGCAAAGACTGCAGGTTTGGTGCGTGCGGTGGGTTTTCTAAATATAGAGTTTGCGTGGCGCACGCCTGTCGTAGCTACTAGACGTACGCACTAACTTACGACAACTCCTGCGCAGTTTTTATAAATGAGGCCCCAGAACTGTGATCGGAACCAGACCAGGACTAAGTCTGGGACCAGATCGGGACCAGGACGAGGACTGAGATCTGGACTGAGACCAGGACTGCGATCGGGACCAGACCAGGACTAAGACCGGGACCAGATCGGGACCAGGATGAGGACTGATACCGAGACTGAGAGCGGGACTGTGAGCGGGACCAGACCAGGACCAGACCAGGACCACACCAATACCAGACCCGAACTGAAACCATTTTAGTCCTGGTTTAGACCTGGAAAGTGAAATCAGGACTAAAATGGTCGGTTCTGGTTAAGACCTGGTTTAGACCTGGTTCAATTCTGGTTTAGTCCTATTTTAGTCCTCGTTCAGTCCTGGTTCAGTCTGTATGCAACGTAAAAATCTGGCATCGCAGTTTAAATCACGGAAACAGGAAACGGCCGTTATCTGTTTTTTTCCATTATTCATTAAACACAAAACTGAACAGAGCATTTTGAGCTTTGTAGATGTGCACTTCTAATAACAAAGAGTTACTCAAACACGTGTGAATGAAACAAAACACAACGCCAGGTCTGTTTTTGAGGAGGAAACCACATTATAACACACTGTACATCAAAAAATAATAATGTAATATGAACCCCTTAAAACACAGGTGTCAAACATAAGGCCCAGGGGCCAGATCCAGCCCTCCAAGACCTTTAATGTGGCCCTTGGGTGATTTTCTACTAAAATATTTTAATTATATTTTCTATTAAAATATTACTAATTTTCTGTGGTGTTTATCACAGCAGCGTCTCCAGCGTCTCTGTACGTGGCCCCTCCCACCAGAGCAGCACAAATGAAGACTTGTCTCTTTCCAAACGCTCTTAAAGGACGATCGTTTTGACTGTTGACCGTGACAACCTCATCAGAAAAATGTCCAACATGAGAAAAGTGGAGCCGAGTGCAGGATTTTCCAAGAAAAATTGACTTATTCCTGTTTTCATACAAGTTAATGTTAAAACATTGTGTTGAAATGGAATTTTTCTTAAAGTTTCAGGTTGTTCATAATATTATAATATTATAATAAGAAAGAGTTCATCAATTAACAAAGATTTCTGTAATAGATTTGTGTTTCTCTTCACAAATTTGAACTTATTGTTATTTTTGGGGTTTATATGCCATGAGTTTTCTGATCCGGCCCCTTTGGGATCAAAGTAGGTTGGATATGACCCCCGAACCAAAATGAGTTTGACACCCCTGCCTTAAAACATGATTAATTTGTTGCAAACCTGAAAAAGAAATCACTAATTAAATGTCAAAGTTATTTTATCTTATGAGTAAAGCCTTCTCAACATCAACTCGAGATAAACTTGAACAAATTTCTTTTTAAATTGCAGTACTCACATATTTCCATAATTTTCCCCCCATAATTTAGAGGGTTTTAGTGGCTCAGAACTGGATTTTCATTCTATTCATTTATATTATAGGGGGCCCATGTGAGACTTCTTGCCCCAGGTCCTGAAATTTCTGTCACCGTGCCTCCTGATACATCTGCTCACCAGGCAGCGTGCGTTTGTGTGTGTTCGTGTGTGTGTGTGTGTTTGAAAACCCACCTTGTTGAGAGAAGGACTGCTCAAACACACACTTGTACAGGCTGCGGAAAGAAGCGCTGAGGTCCTCGAAGTCGGAGAAGCAGAGCGCCTTGTCCCTGGCCGCGTCCGGGACGGGCAGGCCGGGGAGACCGTACTGGGACTGGGGCGCAGGAGGAGGGGGCTGAGGGGGGTCCGAGTGACTGCTCACCTGTGGGACGGAGAGAGAAGGAGAGACGGAAAGACGTTTAGCGCTTTTCAAGATAATCAAAGTGTTGGTTCAGTCCCAAGATCAGCAGTATCAAGGATTTGTTGAAAATACTACAGTTTTGAAGTATCATCTGACAAATAACGGTTGGGAGAAAACCAGGAACTAAATCTGAAGACTAAACAAGGCTTTAAAAAATCTATTCAATGCCAAAGAACACTCAAACTCAAGTTGAAAGGATTGGACCTGGTTAGTAGTTGGATGGGAGACCAGTGGAAAGTTAACCTGTGAAAAGAGTTCTGCACATTATCAATCTGAGGCGGCTCTCATGGCGACTGTTTGAATCTGAAACTAGTCACATCCAGTTGAGAGAAAAACACGTCTTCCGTGTCCGTACTTTATGCTCGTTGTCCACAAACAAAATACCATATTTTTTGGGCTATAAGGTGCACTTAAAATCCTTTAATTTTCTCAAAAATCGACAGTGCGCCTTATGTATTAATTCTGATTGTGTTTACTGACCTCGAACCTATTTCATGTGGGACACGGCGCTCAAAAATCTGTCAAAATGTTTTAGTACGACTTTGGTAAACTGCAAAGCTGCACCACTGAATGGACTGTCGCAGCATTACGGCTACTGGAGTCAGGAGCCTCATGGAGTAAAGCCCAATTTATGTTCCTTAGTTCGACAAAAGCTGAATCGCATGTTACGGCCCCAGGCCTTGGATTGTCATTTGTTCTGGGTGTTCTAAATAAGTTTGCTGACACACTTGGATTCCTGCTGTGGGAGCCTTCGTTTGTGATTGTTGGGGCAGGTCGACGCCCACCTCACCTGCAGCCACCGCCCCCTATTTAAGGAGATTACAGCACCTGTTCGGGGCTGCTGGCCTTGGTGGCCAGTCTGCCATTTTGGTTTTGTGTTTGTGTAATTTAGTTTAGTTCTGTTTTGTGCCTTTTTTGATTTGGTCACTCGATTCTGTTTGTGGGTTTATGTGGTTTAATTTGGGGAACTTGTGTTTTAGTTTAGTGTGTCCCCTAAGTTTTACCACTCGTTTTTTGTGTAACCCTGCGTGACCCCTTTTCTGGCACAAAACTCTGTTTATTCTGTTGTTCTGTTTCTTAGTTTAGGTTGTTTTCTGTATATTTTTAGTCCTTTGTTAATTTACCTTTTACCTTCGTGTTAATTAAACATTACTTAATTTATTCCATTTTACATCTTGGTTTTATTTTTGTTACTTCCCTCACCCCAAACAAGCTGGGTCGTAACACCGCATCAGTGAGCTATTTTTTTTCAGTGCTTAGAGTTTATGCAAATTAGCCATGTGGTTTTAAGTTTAATTTCTGTAAAACATAAACAAATGTGCGCAAAGTTGCATTAAACACATTATTACTCAATGTATATTTAAGTCCTCCTCGTAGGAAATAAACAAATTTAAATTATCCACCCACATTCACATTCATAATCCACATTCACAGGGAGGCAACATTAGTTTCGTTTAATACGCTTTATAATCCGGTGTGCCTTATAGTCCGAAAAATACAATAGTTTGTATTGACACTAAAATATGTTTGTTCTGGTTCATCTCATGGATCTATTAAAATAACTGGAGGGTGTTGCTGCTTGTATCTGCCTCCAGTTGATGTAGTGACACTCACTGGTACTTCAGCGAATAAAACCCCCTGGGCTGAGACAGGATTTTTCTTATAGAGTGTAAAGTAATCACAAATGTCTCGTGTTTGGCTGACAAGGCACCTACAACTTTCAAAAATGTTGTATTTTGTGGTGATTTTTCCCTATTTTTAAATCATAAACTCAAAATCCTACAGTTGTCTTAAAAAACGCTTTATAATCTTTAGCTCCAGCTCCGCTCTGCTCCTCTCTCTCTGATTGGTCAAAGCGATCACATGATACACGAGCCGAAAAAGAGAGCACTACTGCACATGCTCAATCGGCCCAGAGCCACCGGAAGTACCTCACCGCGTTAAAGGCAACCACCTTTATTTAATTACGCTCAACGTCTGAGGGTGTGGAAGGGTTCTGATTGGACAGAGACACGAACGTGTTTATGTCGACCGGAAAAAAACACACACTTCAGCTGGTACTGGTTTTTTTATCATCTCGGTTTGTCGTTACACCACTACACGGACCCAAACATGATCCTAACTTTTTTCGCAGTTGTTCCGATGATAATGAAGCAGAGCTGGACAATTCTGTCATCACGCTTTACGTCTGTGAGCTGAGGAGGAGAAGGGAAGAGCGTCGGAGAAGGGAGGAAGAAGACAAACAGAGTCAACGGCTGCTCTACCTCAGCCCACTCCGCCCGCATCCCGCTCGCAAATCCAAAGAGCAGTGGATGAAAGTCCGAAGACAGGCCTGGTGGAGCCGACTAAAGGCTAATCTGGAATCATGCACCATTTTGAAACCCCGGGGCTTGGTTCATCTGGACACTTCACCAACGCTGCTCTGTGATTGGTCGCCCACCACCTTGATTCACCTGGATTC